ATAACATTCACTTTATTCACTCGTGTAAAGTCGGGCACCACTGGGAGAATTCGGAAATGCGACGGTTGTAACAGCCGCTTCTCTACGACTTTAATGCCAGTAAAAGCCGATTATTCCCGGCTTTAAATGGGTTTTTCAGCCAGTGGGAAAGGGGTTTGATTAAGCTATTTAATTCAGGAAAGTTGGACCAAGAAGATATCGATTGAAACTGCAGGATAATGGCCCTCTAGGACTTAGGTTTGTCCCCTCTGAGACTGACTCGGAATTGTTTTCGGCGCTCATCAGTGGACATTGGACGCTGCTAAGGCAACAGATAGGAAATGATGCCTCCAGCACTGCTACCTGCTCTTCAGGGAGAACACCAGCTAGTACGTGCCTGAGCCTTGTTCACCTCGTGCAAAGCTCCGTTTACGGTTTGTTCACATCCCTCGAAGATGCTAGCTTAGCAAAAGCAAAAAACACTTGGACTGCATGTGTGGCAAAAGGAAAAAACAACTTGCAAAGTAGGAGCATGCACCATGGCGTTAGCAAAGACCTGCGTGCAGAGGATCCTCAGCTTTACCTCAAATGAAGGTGATGATGGTTCAATATATTACAAAGATATTTATTGTCAAATAGCTTTAAATTGCAGTGATTTAAATTTGTACGTGTGCACTATTATTTTAAACTGTAAAATGTTTTTTTGTGTGTGAACAGTTCCCTTTTAAACGTTTATGTAATAAACTTTTTTCTCTCCTTCTTCTTCACATGCTCACTATAGTTTATCAAAGTAAAAAATACATAAAGATCATCATCTAGATAACCTGTTCATGGGTTAAACCTTCACCACTTTAGATGGAGGTCATTTACCATATGGCAGTCAGCTAATATATGGATGTATTAACCCACCTTTCCATTCATCCAGGAGAGATGTGCAAACACAGCAAGGAAGGAGAGTTTATTTATAGAGTCATTCACAGGGTGAAACAGAGAGCAGCACAGCAGATACAAAGGAATAGATGCTAAACGTCCCATAATAACAGAGATAAAGGATTACAGAAAAACGTATAAACAATTAGACTTTATATATTGGTCAAAATAACATACTTTAAGCAAGTAAGGCAAGTTTATTTCTATAGCAAAATTCAGTACAAAGGAAATTCAAAGTTTACATTAAATGATTAAATTAGAGGCTAAATAAAAGCAAATAAAGATAAAAACATGATAAAAGCTGTTAGTAAAGCAAATCAAACTGTTGGACCAGAACCTTATAATATATAATATAAGAGTTAAACGTTTATCTCCATCAGATCTAAACTAACAGGTTTTTAACTCTGACTTAAAGAACTCAGGCTTTCAGTCTGCTGGGAGTTTGTTCCAGATAATTCCAGAAGACCTAAGTGGTCTTAGAGGTAGATCCACAGAAAACAGATCTGTTATGGATTGAGGTGCTGATCTATTTCGTGATTTCTAGACTAACTGAAGGATTTTAAAGTCTATTCTCTGAGCTACAAGGAGCCAGAGGAAGGAGTGCAGAACTGAGCCGATGTGATCTACTTTCTATAGTTCTAGTGAGGACGCAGGCAGCAGCGTCTGGATCAGCCGTTTGATCTACTTTCTATAGTTCTAGTGAGGACGCACCCCCCAGCGTCTGGATCAGCCGTTTGATCTACTTTCTATAGTTCTAGTGAGGACG